TTAAGATACAACCATTTACTTACACGGTCAGAAATATCTTCAAGGAGTTGTAGGTCACTCTTCACAGAACCCGTTGACTTCTCTAGTCTAAGAAAAACAATGGGTGATTCAGGATTGCTCGCTAATGAGAGGCCAAGTATACCTGACAAACCTGCACATCACAGCACATTTCTCAATCAAGAGCATCACAGTGTAAGGCAGGTGGTAAATGATCTACCAAAGTAACAGGGATGCCACAGCAATTGATCATCGATGAGTAAACCACAGTGATGAAAACTATCCAGATAGGGAATACAAAGCAACAAACTATGCATGTGAAGAGGAGATCAAGAACAGACCTTTCCATAATACAGCAATGTTTTTCTTCAGCTTTGTTATCAGATCAGGGTTTTCCTCAAGGACATCAATGGCAGTAATGGCAGCACTTGCAAGATATGGGGGCAAAGAAGCAGAAAAGACGTACCCAGAACTGCTCAATCGCTGCCAAAGACCATACCCCGAAATTTTATTGTTTTGGAGATTTTGGAAGAGAAAAAAAATTAGTACAGTGTGTGTGTGTCTGCATGTACATACAAGTGTTGCATCTACCAACGCAATGATGATCTACTAACTGGTTAGTAGTATAAATTCCAGTAACCAAAATTCAGTTTCATAAATTTCAATGACCATACTTGGTGATCAGTGACTCTAGCACTTCCAGTGCAGAATCCTCCTTCTGTGGCTAATGCGTGTCCCATTGCAGCAGTAATAATATCAATTTTTTCTACCTGCAATATCACCCCACCAGAAATCACAAACACATAATAGATCAACAGTTAAGGGAGATTGAAAAACAAAAAGGATTTCTGAAAAATACCGGAACCCCACAGAATTCAGTGAGACCTCTTCCAGCTTTTCCAAGCACACCAAATGAGTTGCTCTCATCCAATACAACACGAAACCTATATTTCTCCTTCAATTTAACAATCTCGTCCAAGGGGGCTATTTGGCCAGAATTCTGCAAATTTTAGATTAGAATAATAATTACATAAAAGTCAATATAATTCCAAATAGGAATCAGCATACTCATAATTGCATCAGCTACTTCAATTCTCAGGAAAACTCGAGACAAAATGCTAACATGCCAATGGCAACATTCCTGGCTAAAAAGACACTTCGTTCAATTTCTAAAATAGCCCTTGCTTTTAAATTGCATTTTCGTCTTGCCGCTAATATAAAAACAATAATTAATTAAATGAAATTTGATACATTAATAGACTGAGATACCTGGTACACAGCTTCAACCACGATGTAGCGCCGCAATTTCTTAGCCCGCTGATTCTTCAAAGTGATTTTCTCCAGAGTATTTCTTAAAGATTCCATGTCATTGTGCTTGAAGTACACAATTGTACTTCTAGAAAGATACAGACCATTTTGTATTCCCCAATGGACTCCTTCATCCCTAGAAAAGGATAAACATAAACCGCTTTACATGTAAATTCATATTTAAACAGAAATTTTCAAGCAAGCTTTTTAGCAGCATAAGCTCCATGAATGCTAGGATCAGGAAAGTACAGCACCAGAAAATTCACATACATATATAGCACTTCAAAAATATGAAAACAAAGCTCAAGTATATTGAACTCCATGTTTCTAGACAAAGTCATACAATAAAAAACCAGTGGGCATCATATTTCAATAAAAAATTTAAATCAAGCAAAGAAACAGAGGAAAACAATCAATGCAGGCTAGAGTAAAATCAAAAGGTTCATGAGTAACTCTTCAGTAATTTTAGCGGCCTTAATCTTGAACCATAATAACGATTAAAAGATTCAAGCATTTGCTTAAAGTATAACACATTTTCCATGTTATCCATATTTTTTACTCTCATGACAAACTCTTCAACTAAACAAAACAAGTTCTACAACACAACAAAAAAGAGACTGGAATACTTTAAATGAACAATATTATGCATACTTACACAACAATAATATCTCCTTTCTTGCAAAAAGCGGGAATTGCACTGAACATGGTAGACAGTCCATACGAATAGAGAATTGAGTCAGGAGTTCCCAAAAACTTTGCTATTCTTGCCTCACAATCAAGGTGAACATCTGATACAAAATAAAATGAAATAAAAATTATAAAATAGACTGCGAGTTGTCTGCCTTTAAAAAAAAGACTAATATTAAATATATGAAAAGAAAAAAAAAAATCAATACTTTATCTCATGATAGTTGAGGCATACCAATTGTTCCATAAAACCCACGAGGACCACAGGAACCAACACCATATTTCTCCAATGCAGAGGTACACGACTCCTGAGATCAGACACTGCTATAAATGCTCTATTTAAGCAGTTATTCATGAAGAAAAAGTATATTAGTAATTTGAAAAGCTATCCCTTACAAGTAATTTCTCATGTCCTATCAATCCAAGATAATTTGCTGCAGCAAAGTTCACGACTTCTTTACCATTGATTATTGCATGTGGCCCTGCAGCACTGAAAAAATTCCACTCATTAGCAGAAATCTTTAGAACAATGAAGACATTGTTCAATTTTCACCCAAAACCTTAGAATATGACTTGTAGAAAATCCACTAAAATGCTTTGCTTACACAAGGAACACCAAAACTTCCTCACATGGGAAAAAAATGATTAGACACCAGGATAAAACATGCAGAAAATATCCAGGACCATTTTGTGTGGGAAAAACACACACTATTGTTAAAGGAACTCGTCTCACTCTATCTTCAAGAAATTTGGAAAAAGGTACATACAAATCAAAGCTTATATTTTGACCACAAAAATATGGAGATCATTTTATGACGAGACTAGGACTAATCTCACTCACCTTTCCAACACTGGGGGTTCACACTGCATCTCTTCAGTGATAGGAGGAATAAGAGATTCAGGAACCCATTCCTCACATAGCTCATCTATTTCCTACAGATATCAGATACACCAGCCAAGTTCAATTAAGAAACCAGGATACCCCTCAGATAAAAATCAGAAGCATACCATACTAAACCTTTTCAAGGGAAAGTTAAAATGTGACAAGCACAATACATGTAAAGTGGCATCACTACAAATTCCATTCAATGAGACAAAAGGTTAACACTAAATCTGTACGCACACATATTTTGTCATAAAAACCTCACTAGGGAGTATAATCTAGTCATAACAATGCCTCAGCACTTCTCCCATCCTTACTTTGTTAAGTAACTAAGAAACTGAAACCGTTCATTTGGAAAAATTGAAAAATAAAATAAGGGGTGCAGGCGAATCGATAACTATTCAAGGAGACAAAAGGGTTGCAATCTCTCATACAAACCTTCTCTGTTAAAGGCCGCTTAGGTGGCTTGTAACTTTTCTGGGAAAGTAGAAAAACAATGACCAAGAAAAGAAGAACTTCTACAAATAAATGTCCTGCAAAAAAAAGGCCAAATAAACAAAACTTTGTTCAGCACAAACATTATTTTTCGTTGGTAAGCAATAAGCAGTTATTAGGATCTGGAGAAGCTAGTACCGCCAATAGGAACTCCAAAAACAATAGCTCGAGAAGAGGGAGCATCCAAAGTCGCTGTCACCCAATCTAAAGTAGCATTCACTATGTTCAGAAAACTTGATGCCATTTTATTCGATATCTCAATTCAATTAGCAAAGAGGCTTCAAGCATCACTTGTGTAGAAACTCATGCACTTCCGTAGGCAGCACAGAGACCTTTTCCCTGCAGTGAATACCGTTATTCACTAATTACTTATTCAGTAACAAAAACTTACAGAATCTCAAGGTCATTCAACGATTGTATTGTACAATAGTTCAGCTAGGCAAGCCACAACAAGAGTTCTTCAAAGCAAGCCCATCAAGCTTTCCAATTATTATGAGCTAGAGTAGATTCGAAATTCTGCATGCAAATCTATTCGGCTCTATTCACACACACACACACAGATATATATATTTCGTACACACACACACACACACAGATATATATTTCGTAATATCGTCCAAAAGACTCGCAGGAAAGCATGGTGATTTATCAATGAGATCCAAAAGCTAACAAAACCCTAAAGTCACTTGCCTCCAAAATGAAATTAACCAAAAATTCGATTCTTCATCGTTATAATCAGTCGTCTACGTATAAGATAAATACAGAAAGACAATGAGGAGACGACTGAAAGTACCTGACGATTGAGAGGGCGGTGATGGCAGGAGTTGAGGGCGACGCTGCAACGGAGCAAACGGAAGAGGATTGTGATTCTTCTTCCCCGCCCTTCGCTTCTCTCAGATTCAGATGAAAATGAGGGACAGGGTCAACCACGTTGATTATTCGCCTGGCAGACAAATTTTTATTTTTATTTTTATTTTTTCTAAATTATTATTATAGTGTTTGGCAGACAATTAAATATTTTTTTATATAAAGAATAGTGTTATTTCATCGTATTACATGGTGCGTCTTTAAATATAAAGATGTCACTCCACCATGGTACTCATAAAATAAAATAAAAAATGAAGATTTACTATTATACCCAATATAGAAGCCCAAATTATAAAAAAAATCATATACGAAATGGACTTTAGAAACACACCCAAAATCCATTTACAACATAACAAAAAGGCTTTTATCTTCTTTTAAATTACAAAACTGTCATTGATTTCTTAAAACAAACCTAATCCCAAAACCTCATAAAAAAGCTCAAACCACTTAATAGGGCATCAAAGTAATTTAATAATCAAAATTAAAGAGTGCTGCTAAACGAACCCTAAAATTAACTGAGTACACCCTACTACAAAAGTATACATTGAATTACTGATTTACCTTAATATAAAATGACCAAAAAGGATATACGGAATTGTGAAACAAATATAATTTTAATAATTACACCCTACTAACCGTATTCAACCATAATCAAGAAATTACTTTTGAAGAGAGAAGAATAGAGGCATTACAATAGGTCATGCAGATTTTATCTCAAGGCTAATTGTACTTTCTTGGTGCATCTTAGGCTGTTGTTCAATACATGATTGAGCTTGTCGTGAAAAGAGAAGTTAAAGCACAACCTGCTAAGCAGAAGAAGACTTGGGCTCAAATCTGCTTCTTCTCGCGGTCCAAAAGGAAGCGCAACGGTGGAGATTATGTGAAGACCTGATTAATCATTGAATTCCTGACAAGAGACATGATAATTTCAATCGAGTAAGTTGTCAAAACAATATTATGGTGAATTGACTTATATATTGTAAAAAAAGAATTTATGCATATTACTTTTGCCTAGTTCACTAACAACATGAATGAAAAACTCTTTGACCCTACTGTGGTGGCACGATCTTCATCCCCCTCTTAGGACTTAGTTTTTCTGGCTTGTGAGCGTGTATGATTAAAAATATCTTAACTAGTACTACTAGGGCCAAATTGATGAAGTTTGCAGTGACTTTCTTTTGCCACTCATGCACCTTTCTTATTGTTTTTCTCTTATGTTCTTATAAGTGAAAAACAGGAAACTTGATCAATTTTAGTGAACCAAAAGTACACCTTAGAGCACTAGCTTTGGGGGAAAAAGTATTGTTATTCGTGCACGTCCACCTTAACTTTGATTTTTTTTTTTTTTGAGGAAGTCATCAAAAGAGGTATTAACTTTGATTTTTATTTTTATTTTGGTTTAGGCTAAAGCATGTGTACCGAAAAATGACAAATATGAGGATTTTTTTTTACAGCATCCAGAAGATGTATCTAAGCAAGACACCGACATCAATAAACAATGTGTTTTAGACTACAGAAACGAATTTATCACAAACGAGGTAAATTAATGAATATTTATATATTTATTTTATAATTGCATACATTAATTTAATTTTTAGTGATTTTACAGATATTTGTTAGTCGTGATGCATTAATAAGATGGACTCGTGAACAAGGGACAAGGAATGGCTTTGTGATTATCATTAAAAGGTCTGATATTGGAGGAGCTGGTAAATTCAAGACCGGTCGAATTCTATTTTGTTGTGAGAGGGGTGGCCAATTTAGGAAAAAAAAAGTTGTGGAATCAGATAGCAAGACAATACATAAGCTTGATCAAAGTTCAAACCCTCCAAAGAAAAAAAGTGTGAAGTCTACTGGCACGAAGAAGTGTGGTTGCCCCTGTTCATTGAAGGGTGTGAACTGTGGTCCTGGAGATGCATGGCAACTTGAGTTTGTCTGTGGAGTTCATAACCATCCTGCAGCACTAAATATGGAAGGGCATTCATATGTAGGGAGATTAATTGTGGAAGAGAATTTACTAGTGGTTGACATGTCTAAGAGTTTGGCTAGGCCAAAAGATATATTATATACTATTAAACGTAGAGATAGGTTGAATGTGACCACAATGAAGACAATCTACAATGCCAGACAAAAAAATAGGGTGATTGAGAAAGCAAGTATGTTAGAGATGCAGGTATTGCTACGAAAGTTGTTTGCCCATGAGTATGTAGAGTGGCATAGAAGCTATGGTACCGCTAATATTGTAAGTGATTTGTTTTATGCTCACCCTACAAGTATTAAGCTACTGCGCGCATTTCCTCATATTTTGATCATGGATTGCACATATAAGACAAACAGGTTTCGCTATCCACTTTTGGAGATTGTGGGGGTGACGTCTACACATCTTACATTCTCAATTGCATTTGTTTATCTTAGTGCTGAGAAAAAAGACAACTACAGATGGGCATTGGCTAGATTAAGGAGTGTTATGGATGATAATTCGATTCCAAGTGTTATTGTCACAGATAGGGAGTTAGCTAAATGCACTCCATAAAGTCTTTCCAAGTGTTCGACATTTATTATGTACATGGCATATTAATAAAGGAGTCTTAGGAAAGTGAAAAAATGTATTTGAAGACAAAGCTAGTTCAGACAAATTTTTAATTTCATGGAATATGCTTGTTTCATCAAATACAGAAGCCGAGTATGAAAGACATCTACTGGCCTTACAAACCAACTTCAAATATCACAATTCTATCATCAACTATGTGAAAGAGACGTGGTTGATTCCTTATAAAGAAAGATTTGTTGCTGCTTGGACGAACACATGTATGCATTTTGGGAATACAACATCAAATAGGTATTTATTATTGATTTTCAATTAATATTTATATAGCATACAATATATATTACTTCACATGAAACATGTTGCTACAATATACAGGGCGGAGACTGCACATGCAAAGTTGAAGAAACAACTTGGTAATAGCATGTGTACATTTGGAACATCATGGGACAAAATTCATCCTTTAATAGAATTGCAACACACTGAGATAAAAAGCATCATTTGAGAAGAGTCTGTCATTTGTGCAACATGACTGCAGGAAAGAAGACTTCAAGGAGTTGATTGGTTTTGTATCTATTTCTGCATTGGATAATATTATGGTTGAGCTAAAGCGGTTAGATTATATTGGGGTTGATCTTATATCATGTGGTTGCATAATAAAACACACACATGGATTACCATGTGCACATGAGATGCAAGAGTTCAAACGGACTCATAGGCCCATTCCACTTGACTGTATTCATCCTCGTTGGAGAAAGTTAGATTTTTTGGAGCCCCGACCTACTACTACACCGAACAATCCTCCAGAAAATGCACAGTTAGAATTATTTGTGAAGTGGTGTCAAAGTTGTAGTTCTGAGAGAAAGAGACATGTTAGTATGAAGTTACAAGAGATTATGAATCCTGCATCTACCACACTTACACAACCCCAACTGAAGATTAAAACAAAAGGTCGTCCAAAAGTTGACACATCTACTCGACGTTTGCCTTCTGCTTTTGAGGTTGTTACAACACCGCCATGTAAGAAGCCAAAGACCATACCCCAAAAGCGATCAGTTTTGAATAGTCAAACACAACCATTGCCATATGTGTATCTAAAGAAGCCGCCTTCGAAGTTACCTGTAAGTAATTACAATATTAAATTTGTATACTGTCGTTTATATTGTAATTTGGGTGTAATTGTAATATGCAGGTCTATAGGCCTAAACCCAGTGTAGATGACTCTTGCTTAACACCAGAGTTTAACAAGTGGTTTCCTAAACATATGTTGATACATATTAGAGGGGCACAAGATGTTAAGAGTGATGGTAATTGTGGTTTTAGAGCCATTGGATCATTGATGGGATTTGGTGACAATGCTTGGCGCAAAGTACACAGAGACTTGTTGAAGGAGTTGAGGAAAGAATCTATCATATACGAGTTAATATTAAATGGTAAGGAACGGGTACAACATATTGAGTTAAGGTAAAACGATTAAGCTGTTTATGCATATATATATATATATATATATGTTTGTTTACTATTTTTTTTCACATAACTTGATTTATTTTTTTATTTTTTATTTTACTGGTTTATTTGGAAGGTCAACACCCTATGCCACCAGTTGATGAGCGTTGGTTGAGATGTGCAACCATAACTGCATCAGATTGGCTTACGCCATATCAGGATCGTATACGTCAATTTAGATATGAAGCTGGTGTAGCAGACCCTTATGATAATGACCCTATATTTATTGAGTAGTTTTGTAAAGCATCATATTGGTGACATTAATAAGGAAGTCACAAGGCAAATAAAACCTTTTCTCTATTCAAAAGCTTAACTTTGTTAAGTAAGGACATACTATTTATCAGTGCTTCCCAAAATGATACGATCTTGAATCCCAACAAAATGTGTATTAGCATTCTTATTCGGAGAGCTTTCTCAAATATTTTTCCTGTATTTAGAGGTAACAAACAATAAGAGGTGGAGAGCAAACCAGAGATGATATGCCTGAAATTTCAAGATGAGTATCAACACTAATTTTAATTTAACTATAACAATCAATAGTGATAATTGTAACAAGAAAAAAGAAATGCCAATAAATTTATAGAAAAACTTCAATGGAGTTTTTCAGTGTCTCTGTGTGCATAAATGAGAGATATTGATGAGCACAAAGACTGGTTCTTTATCGAAGGGAGGAGATCCCAGCTTCCCCATGACAGTAGATTCCAGTTGTATCAGTTTTCACTTGTTCTTATTCACTTTACACCTGTACATTCACGTACAACATACAAGTTATTGGTTTCCAACTACGAATAGTCCATCTAGAGAGGTGGGAAAGTTGAGAACAAATAAATTTCACAGTAGCGTAGTAGTATATAACTGAAACATGCATAAAAAATCACTATTAACGAAAGAGGTGGTGATTGCAAGAACTTGGAATTGCAAAAAAAGTGTCAATAGTTTTAGCAGAAGCATAAATCCATATGAAAAGTCAAAGATTTATAAACACTATTAAAAAAATCAAGTTGAAAATCAACTACAAAATAATGCTACAAGTATTAGGGTGTACCATGGGTATTTTTGGTAGTTCTATAGGGTGTACTTAGTTAATTTTAAATTTGAATTAAAATATTATGGTGTACTCAGTTAATTTTAGGGTTCGTTTAGCAACACTCAAATTAAATTCAATAGGGCCAACTTTTATTTTTTGGGGTTTTTTTTTGGGTTTGTTAATAGAAATTAAATTGTGTAGGGTTTATTTATAATTTTGGTGCTAAGAATGGGTATTTGACTAAATATCTCAATAAAAAAAAGTGAGGTACATATCATGTGAATGAAAGTGTTGTGACACTAAATTATTCCTAATAAAACCCAACATCATAATGTTGGTATTTTCTTTCCATTCACGTTGGTAAGCAGGGTGATATAGGGTTTTATTAGAAGTGAAGTTTGTGATTTGAAATGAGAATGGGGTTGAATGTAGGATTTTACGGAAATTTGGGACGCGGGCAAGTCATTGAGGTTGAGCTCTATGACTCGTACAAAAATGGAAACATGAAATTGCACTTGTACGGGTGTATGATTACTATTTTGAAGTGTTAAAAAGAATTCCCTTTGTAAAAATGAAAGTGAACTATGTATTGTTGTTTATATGATTCATGACATTGTATATATCTTTCACAGTTTCACCTATTGTTCGATTTGGTAAGGTCCTTTTGATAGTAATTTTAGATAACCTTAGCATGAAAAGTTATAAATTTTTTTTCTGTTGTTGCGGAAGTTATAAGTATTTTATGGGTTATAAAAACAGATTTTAGGCCTTTCAAGAATCAAGCGTATTTATTTGGCGATGGTTTGGCTAATTTGATCCCTTTCTTGGATATGGAATACATGAACATGCTATCCACTCTCCTCCTTTTATATTCCGAGCCTGTGTAAGGTGGATATGTTGGGCTGTTCCCGTTTAGTTGGCTTTGCCATTTGATCTTTGGGTCTCCACAACACCAAAAAAGTTGGCCCAAAGTGACCCTATGGAGAACAGATCGTCCACCAAACCTAAACTGAAAATCTTTTGGGCAACTTTAGATCAATGCGGCCTCTGCCTTCTCTGTCCAGGCTTGGTGGAACCACCATTGCATGCTGAACCTCATTGGGGCAAAAGCCCGCACCTTGGCACCAATTAAAGTGATTAAACTTGAAAAGTCATGTCTTGAAGAAGATTTAAGGAGGACCAAAATTGCTATTGCCTTACAAAGAAATCTATAGGGCCTTATATATAGCCCTTACATAAGGCTCTTAACTGTTGGATCAAATTGGTTAGTCATTGGATCAAATTGGTTAATTTTGATTTAATGGTTAAGAGAAAGAACTTCATCTAAGGGTCATATATAAGGCCCTCACTATAGAATGACTCATTGGCTTACATATTAGAAGAGCACAGTCCAGTTGTGCAATTTCTCTATCCCACCGAAAGAAGGAAAAAAAGCAACAAATTTGCATCACCAATCATTTAACATTTTAATGTGAATGGATACCAGTCAGTAAGGTGTGGGTTTGCCCATCTTAACTCATAAACTTAATCCCAAAACCCACCTAAAGACAGGCACAGTGCTCTAGTATTAAGACCATTTAGATTGAAAAAACCCATCATGGAAGTACTAATTAAGACCAAATTTTGATGGAAGCTAATGATGAAAATTTTCAGAGCTAGCACATGCTGTGTCTGCTCCACTCTCAATGCTTTTTACACTCAGAGCTAGAATATGGAGATGCAGAGAGAGAGAAAGAGAGAGAGAGAGAGAGCTTTAGAAGCATAATATTGCAAAGTTTATCCAAGACAAGATATGATGGATTGCAAGCAACTGTTAAAAAGAAAGCACAATTAGATTGCATATTCACTTTGAAATAGACAAGAGGGCCACTTTAATAATTGTGCAATTTGGAATCATATCTCTCTCTCCTATGAAACCATAATTCAACTTATGTACTTAAACAACGTCACTGCTCACCGCTCAGTGACTAAGAAGTGGCTGATTGGACTGTAAGATAGTCCAAAATCTGTTTAATTATAGTGCTAATCATTCTGCAAAACAAGATAGGATTGCTTGTGATGATGATCAATGAACAAAAGGGAAGAGAGAAAAAATTGGGGAGCTTGGGATCAAAAGGAGGTGAGGGAATAATGGTGTGATGTAAAGGTGGTGGAAGCATGTGATGCAAAGCACCACATGGTAGAAAGCACAAGGAAAAGGGATGGGAATATAATAAAGAAACACACTGCAACATATGCAGCAGCAAGCGCCCTCTGTCTGAAGCATAGATGAAAAACTAAATAAATAAAAATAAAAATAAAAACCAAAATCACGTGGCTCTCCTCGTGGTCTAATGAAAGCTTAGTATTGGGTTACAGTTATTTTTAATTCTTTATGAGCAGGGTATTTGGATGGCCCAAAGCTAAAATCTTTTCTTCAGCATTGCAGAAGAAAAGGAAAAGAAACATGTCTTAC